AACATTCAAAAGTATTTTTTTGTAATAGTTGAACATTTCTAAATAAATGGTTTCTAAGTTAATGATAATGATCGAAATTTAAAAAATAGTCAAATAAATTTAAAAAATAGTCAAATAAAACTTTTTTTAAGCTAATTATATTTAATTCTATTCACGAACAAATAACAGATAAAGCCATTAAGTGATATGATTATAATAAACTAGGCGAATGCTCGCGCGTTGCGCAGAAACACCTATATAGTTGAAGTCTTTACAAATATATGTTTTTTTTAATATAGCAATAACATTCTTTTTTAAATTTGATATAATAATTCGTATACTAAATTGATATAATGTATTGATTATCTTGAATTATATGATAATATATACTTCTATTATAACTGCATAATCTTAATCGTTTGAATCACTTCTACCCGCGAGTTACATGAATAAAATTAAATATAATATATGGTTTAATGTTATTTATAGTTGTTGTTATTGTTAATTAATTTTTTAAAATTTATTTGCTTCATGTTTTATTTTTTATCATTATAATTATTTAAAACATCAAACATTGTTTTTTTGATTTTAAAGGTAATAATATAATCATTTATATAGAGTTATTTTAACTATTGTTATTGTAAGTTATTTTAAGCTACTTATTTGAAAACTTTTAACGATTATAAAAATATCTTTAGGAAATATTTTAGTTCATTTGAGATTAAAATTTAATTTTTGCATTTATCACTACAATTTATCACTTTTAACTATTTACAAAATATTCTTTGGTTTTTTAAGTGAAACTGAAATTTATATTTAAGTTCACATTGTAACGTTAAATTTAAAATAACAATTTAAGTATTTTATCCAAACTGTTAAAAAGTTGTAGTTTTAAACTGATAATGGTTTACATACAACAACATCTTAAATCTAATAAATTAAGTATAATATGTTAAAAGTTAAAGACATAACTTTATAAGTAGAAGTAAATATATTATTTTAAAATTGAAATGTAGTATATTTATGATTACACTTATGGTTTGATATTTATACAAATTGTTCCAAAATTATATCTTTAAAATGATAATGGTTTACATCCAACAATATATTAAAACTAATAAATTAAGTATAATATGTTAAAAGTTAAAAAAATCACTTAATAAGTAGAAGTAAAGATATTATTTTAATATTGAATTTTAGTTTATATATGATTACACTTTAGGTTTGATATTTATTTAACCTTATTAACCAACTTATAATTATTATTAGAAAGAAATTGAAAAGTCATGAGAGTTTCAAATGAATGTGGTGAAAGGAAAAATGCTTCCTTTATAATATAGTATGATATGATATGATATGATATGATGATATGATGTTTATCTTATTATGTCATTGAAACTAATTACAAATTTATATATTAACTTATTCAATAACATATATCATGGTTGCAGAAATCAGAATTAATCGGCGATTTATCGTGGATTAATCGCTTGTCGTTCTCCAACCGTCGAGGATTAGGGTATTAATCGGAAATTTAGGATTAATCGAGTTTGGAGGGATTAATCGGTCTTGGCAGGATTAATCGGTCAACAAAAGTCAAAAAAGTAAAAAAAAAGTAAAATAAAAAAAAAAAATTAAAAAAAAAAAATCAAAAAATCAACTTTTTTTTACTCCAAAATTTTCAAAATTTCAAAATTTCAAATATTATACAAAAATGTTCATATTTTCGCATTTTCAAATTTCAAATTACAAAATTTCTTATTTTCTATTTTGAAGTACTTATTTTTCTTAATATATATTAATATTTAATTAATTTTAATATTTTATTAATAATCTATGGTCCCTGATTAATCCACGATTAATCCCCGCCATGGCCGATTAATCCCTTAACACCAGTCAACCGTCGAGCTACCGTCGAACGATTTTTATAACCTTGACATATATTTATCAAAAGTTTAAGTACATAATTATATTATGTGTAATATAGGGATGAACATTAGAACCGCCGGAACCGGAACCGGACCGGAACCGGAACCGAAATTGGTAACAAGGTCCGGTTACCGGTTCTCCATTTTGATGAAAATCGGTTTCAGTTCTAAAAACCGATCCCGGTTTTAAAAACCGGAACCGGTTTGACATTTTTCTCGTTTTTTAAAATACACATAACTCACTCATATGAAGTCAGAATTATTTGATTTTTTTCCAACATGTAATTTGGAGTTGTAATTCATTTTTGACTGTACAAACATATGTTTTGGTTAGATATTGAATCAGACACATGCCCCGAAAGAAAGAATATTGATGCTGCGTTTTTTCTATTTCAACATTGTTTTTTGTTTTTTTGAATCTGTTACATTTTTTTTAAAATGAGCATAACTCATTCATATGACGTCGGAATTACTTATTTTTTTTCTAGAATGTAACTTGGTGTTTGTAGTTCATTTTAGACTATAAAAACACATACTTTTGTTAGATATTGAATCAATTATAAACATCGGAAGACAACATATCAATGCTGCGTATTTTCTGTTTCAACAATTTTATTTTTGAAATATGCCCTGCTTTTAAAATGCGCATAACTCACTCATATGAAGTCGGAATTACTTGGTTTTTTTTCATCATGTAATTTAGTGTTGGTACTTTAATTTAGAATGTAAAAAGTCATAATTTGATTAAATATTGAATCATTTAAAAGCTCCGGAAGATAACATATCATCTATAATATTTCAATCGGCTCTAGTTTGAAAAATAACCGAAAAACCGTGACCGGAACCGGAAACGGTGGTCCGGTTCCCGGTTCATATAATATAGGAAAACCGGTTCCGTTTCCGAACTGGTCCGGTTCTAAAGCTCATCCTTAGTGTAATACACATATATTCGTCTAGTAGTTATAAAGAAAGCTATTATTTATAAGAGTACATTACAGTTTTCGTCCCTATGGTTTGCTCAAATTCGCACATTCAGTCCAACCTTTAAAATTTGACAAGATGCATCTCTGTGGTTTAAAGAAATTGCACTGCACATCCTTAATCCACTTAAAAATATCATTTTACCATTACTTTTATATATTTCTTTTTCTTATATATATATATATATATATATATATATATATATATATATATATATAATTGTTTAATTTTATTATATTTTGCCGTTTACATTTTATTTTATTTATTTATATTTTTATGATTTATATATATATATATATATATATATATATATATTTTAATTTTATTCAAATATATTTTTAATGTTTTTTATATTTTGTTCGTTTATATTTTTTTGACGTTTTATTTGGATAATTTTTCTAGTGTTTTTTTTTTAATGTTTTGTTCGAGTATATTTTTTAATGTTTTTTTTTATCTTTTGTTTTTTTATATATTTTTAAAGCTTTTTATAAATATTTTGTGTATAAAAAATATAAAAAAGTTAGTTAAATGAGAATATGATTAACACATGTTAGGTATATAATTGTTTATTTTAATAGGGTTATTGTATAGGTTAACCGAAATTTAAATCGAGTGTCAATGGATTCGAATTCAATTTTTTTAGTTTTATAATTTTTTTTACATTTCGTTCCAAATGAAAAATGTTAATCAAAATTCATATAACTCAAACACATGTGTTCAAAGTTTTTTAGTTCTATTTTTTTTAGAAATTTTGTTCGTTTTCGAGTTATATGGTTTTCCAATTAGCCTTTATATAACTTGAAACCCCTTTTCGTATTTTTGTTAGCCTATCTATTAATCTTATTAAAAATATAATTTTATACCTAATCTAAGTTAATAATATTCACATTTAACGAACTTTTTTTTAACATTTTTTCAAAAAGTATAAACAAACAATACGTAAAAAAAATTAAAATGTATTCAAACAACACGTCAAAAAACTAAAAAAAATATTCAAAAAAACATCAAAAAACCGTATTAAAGCGGACGATGTCTATTACGATTTACGGGAAAGACGAGAAAGGTGGCGATAACACGGTCACGATGGTTCCTAGTGGTTGGGAGTACCACATTATTGAAGTAAGATGGGTTTGAGAGCCCACATCTCTCTCTCTCTCATACTATTCTTACTTGTAATTTATGTTGTAAAACTTGTATAAATTGTGTTTGTATGTTTTTAATTAGCATGTAAATTAGTTTTGTATGTTTTAATGTTTTAATGTTTTAATGTTTTTGTTAATAAATTTTGTATGATTTTAGTTATTTTGTATTTATTTTAAAATTAAAAATTGAATGTGTTGAATGAGTTGAAAAAGATAAGTTTGCATGTGTTATGGGTTGGAAAAGATAGAAAAGAAGGAAAGAGAAAAAAATTGATGTGGAAGAGATGAAACAAAATAAGTTGGAAGGATGGATATAATTCATCTTAACAAGAAAATAATCTGTGAGGTCAAGAAAGAATTCTAGCGATATTCTCTAAACACATTTTGAGATTGATCTCTTCCTCTATCTTGAAGCTAGCATAAAGTTTAAAGGCTAATCCTTTTTTTATTTTGTTGAACTTATTAAATTATTGGAAGATCAGGTAAATAAAATTGAAGGGTAGGTGACCCCTATTTCAATTCCAATCCTTGTTTCTCTTTGCACATTGCAACACATATAAAGAATTAAAATTGATAAATTCATAACCATTGTAATACGAAGGTCGAGAATTTTTTAGATTTTTGTTTGTACGTAAAAGCTGTTCTAAGGGAAAAAGAGAGGGAATTGTCATATGTTTAATACACACACTACAACTATATGATATTGTTTCAGATTTAAGAATTTCCACTTTAATATATAAAACGACCTATCCAAAAGAAAGTGTAGGACATACATATATACCTAAACTTTAACGTCAAATCTAGATCATGACGTATCAAAACACTTCAAATTTAAGCTCAAGAAGTGATACCCACTCAAATTGTTCCAAATGGATTAAAAAGAAAAAGAGAAGGTTCTTAAACACTTTTTTAACTATAAAACACCAAAAATTATCTTCAATATCTTGTCAAAATCTTGCATTTTCAAAAAATGCCTAATGCTAGAGGCCCATCACACGAACCTGTATTAGGGTCAAGAAGTTGGATGATGGTTAAGACCATTATTACAGGCTTGCTTGCATTAATAGTCATGATTGGTGTAACCATTCTAATAATCTGGCTAACCATCAAACCCAGAACGCCAGCCTATTTCATCAACAACGGCTCAATCCACGACTACAACTTATCCAAGGACTACCATCTGAATGCATCTTATAACTTTCTTCTTAAGACATTCAATCCAAGCAAAAGAATGTCTGTTCATTACGAAAAAATGGAACTTACGCTTTTGTTCAAGCATGAAACTATTGGTAGTGGTGTTATGCCCTCATGGCACCAACACAAAAGGAATCGTACGACATCTGAACTGGATCTTGCGTCACATAATGTGAAATTATCAGAGGCACTGTCACGAGACATAGAGATGGCGAACTCGACGAATCAAGTTGTGGTAGATTTGAAGATGAAGGGTAGAATCCGATCTAAGTTAGGAATATGGAAATCAAGGTATTATCACATGACAGTTTCATGTGTAAATGTTGTCGCAGAATTTTCTAAATCCTCGAATGGATCTCGAGGTACTATATGTGATGTTGATCTTTGATTTATGTCTTTTGTTGTGTTCCAATTGTATTCAATCTAAGTTTTTCTGTTTCCGCTCCTTTCATTATAACATTTGTTTGTTAATTGTACCAAATATATTCTATTTTTCTTCTATTTGTGAGAGATACTCGATCAGTTTGTGTGTTAGTGTGTATATAGTATATTCAAATTTCAAATAATATTCATGTTAATGTTCACAACGACCCGTTTGTAGCAATTCATATAAGGTTAGTTTTTTTGTAAAACCTTTCTAATATTTAGCACAAATCAAAGAGAAAATCAATTTCTTAATATATCCCACAACCAACAATATGGCCCACCTACCTGATGCTTTCTATGTCGATCGGTTACTCTACTAATGCCGAGTAATCTACATGGTTCATAGACTCAGGTGTTGGATAATCCAGAAAATGGGACAGTTTTAGTCCCAGGGGTATTTTGGGAAAAACTTTTCAATTTTAAGTTTCCTCCCCGGTTTCTTATTTGAAACAACATCCATCCAACTCGCACTCTACTGACTCACATGGCTAATCTCTACAATACATATTTGCTTATGTTCCAAGTGTGACCTCTATTTCACAATCGACTTATCACATGAAAAGTGAAAACACAAGCCTAAAAGTTTAGACTTAACTCATGTTACTAGTAGTGGCTTTGCAAAACTTACAGACCAGCCTCTAAAAATCCTAAATGGGTTATTGTTATGTACAATGCATTTCTTAACGAATCAGTTACAGAGAAAGTATTTATAGAGCAAAAATTGGGTTATAGTGACCCTCATTGTCCTAATTACATTTGTCTACTTAAGAAGACCCTTTGTGGCCTTAAGCAAGCTCCATGGCCTTAAGAAGGTTGTTTATGGTCTTATGGAGCAAAAATTAGGTTACAATGATCCTCGTTTTCTTGATTAGATTTGTTTACTCAAGATACATATCTTTTCCTTTTTACAAGAGATGAGTTTAGTTGATCTTCTTGTTTATGTCGATGATATTATCCCCACTGACAACAACCCTCAACTCATCCACACCTTTTTCTCTCATCTTTGATCAAGATTTTTCCATCAACGATTTGAGTAAACTAAATTACATTTTGGGCCTAGAGGTTGTGCATACTACAAATGGTTTAGTCCTAAGTCAATCAAAATATGATTATGACATCCTTTCTCAAGCCAATCTTCTAGAGTGCAAACCCATTGCTACTCCTCTTGTGGCCTAAGATCAATTAAGCAACATCGATGACACTTTTATGGATACAATATTATACAAGTCCTTAGTTGGGACACTCCAATACCTAACGATTACCGTCCTAGATGTCTCCTTTGTGGCTAATCAAGTTAGACAATTTTTCCATGCTCTAATAATGACCATTTTGAAGCATTAAAACATATATTGCAATATGTGAAGGGTAGTATCTCGTTCTTGTTTCACTTTCATCAACATTCTGACTCGTATCTTTTTGGATATTTAGAAGCATATTGGGCTCGTTGCTTGGAAACATGGAGTTCCACATATGGATCCTCTAATTTTTTTGGTAATAACCTTATCTCTTGGAGTGCTAAGAAGCAACCCACAGTCTCTCAATCCAACCAGAGTATGAATACCGAGCTATGGACAATGTTGTAACATAAATTTTTTGGATTACCAATCTACTATGTGAAGTAGGTGTCGTGCCATCAAACCAACCAACTCTCTTTTGTAACAACAAGAGTGCAATCTTTCTAAATTAATCTTATTGCTAAAAAAATACAAAGTGTATAGTTATTGACTACTATTTCATACATGAGCTAGGCTCCTCAGGAATGTTGGATATCTGCTTTGTTATGAATACTCTTTAACTTGCAGAGATATTCACCAAGGCCTTACCGCATCCTTTTCTTTTTTAATACTTTCAGTCCAAACATAATGTCGGACCATCTCCTTATTCGCTTGAAATGGGTTATATCATAAATCAGGGAGAAAATAAAGAATAATAATCCATGACTTAATATGGTTATATTATTTAAGTGGTAATGTCATTATAGCCCATCAAATTTTCGAATTGTGGTTTGAATGGTCCCTAAACGATTTTCGAGCTTTAAGGGGGCATAAGGTGGGGTTTTTTCGGGTTCAAATGGTCATTTTGGACAAATAAAAAGGGTAAAATCATTACCATTGTGCCAACTTATTTGACAAATTAACTAAATTATACCCTTCTTGTCCACGTCTCTCTATCTCAAGTTCATATCCAAAAGATTTATTGCCACCATCAAAGGTAATGGTAGATATGTGGTAACCCCACAATTATATAAACATCAGACAACATCAATGGAGTATTTGTGTCTAATTCTTGCTCATCAATCATATTTATCGATCAGGACGATGGATCCGACGATGATAAGGATTCCCCCTATGGAAACAATGGATTTTCCGGAAAGGTCACTGATGTTCCTCAGCCCTTAAAGATAAGCCATTGTGGAAACATGTGTAGATCAGTATCTTATGTTCTCAGGACAATTCACACAATTCTTGTTCTAGATGTAACAATCTAGTTAAAATTGATAAAAAAAAACACTAAATATTTTGTTGCTAGTCTTGTGACTTCTGGCTCCATCAATCCCTACATATTGGCTTTCTAATGGTTCAAGAATCATGGTTGAAAGAGCCGAGTTTTGGGTTAATTATGATCTAGAATGTTATTTTGATGTCAATGGCATTTTGGTTCTTTTGATGATGTTTAGACTTGTGAAATTTTTTGGATGTGTTATATGTATTTATCTTGTCTATTTGAAGCTATAAGAATTTGATATTTTGATTTAGAATGGAGTGGAATTGATGAATCCAAGTTTGGAATGGAATGACATTGAAAAAGGAATTAAAAAGTTGATTTCAGCCTCACCATGATGCGGTGATCGAGGCGGTGATTTTAAGTCTTCTCCATCGTAAGTCGTATGCAATTTACTTTGGCTACGTAGCGCGGTGTATGAGTGCCACGATGCGGTGAGAAAAGTATGTTGTTATAAGGAATAGTCACCACAACGTCGCATAAGGCTGATAACGAGCTCATTCAGTTGCCACAACATGGTTTTGAGTACCGTTAAATCTAGACTTAGGGCTCATTTGTTCTTAATCAATCCCCATTTCCTCTAGAGCTTCCCTTTGGTGATTTTGTGGATAAGAAGGTTGCAAGATGAGATTTAGCTTTCTTTGGACTAGGTAAGAGCATCTCAAACTCTTGTAGTAGTTATTTTCTTCATTTTCCAAGCTTTCAATGGCTTTAATGGTGAATTTCGAGTTTGAGGTTTTGATGTTATATTTATCCAAGTAACTTTTTATTAATGCTTGATTAAGTGTCTTAGAGCTTAATCCATGGTTTATATGAAGTTTTAATGGTTGAAATCCATGATTTGATTCTAGGTTTTGAAACCATAGAAATGGAAACAATGAAGAAAGGTTCATATGTTATCATCTAGTTAGGATTAAGTGTTTATGAGCTTGATTGGACTAGTTTGACAAGAATTTGAGCGAAAGAGAGTCAAGTTAGGGTTTTTGTCCAAACTATAAGTTTTTGGCTAAAATCACAAGTGATGTATTAATAGATTAAGACATATATGTGGGACATAATGTAAGTAAATGGCATAGGTGGTAGCAAAGAATGATTTGGAGAAGTTGGAAGTAGGTTGATATTCCACAACACAAGTTGAGTTATACTTTCCCTTTAGAGTATGATTATGTAATATCGAGCATGTACAAACATGTGAATGTATGGATGTAATTGTTGATTACATCATTGTTAGATTTTATCATGACAAATAACATGTGTTATGTTTTATGATGTGTATGCTTATGCATGTAAAGGGTTAGACTAAGGGATCCCTAAGAAGATTGTGCTTAGAGTCTTGTATGGAAACAAATACGATGATGACTGGTTGTTTATCACCTAGTATATGTGTAGATGCTTGGTTACTTATGTGACAAGCCAGATGTGTGTTGTATGATTATGTTGTATTTATAACATGTTATAACTCATCAGACTTATAGTCTGACATATATTGTTTCCATGTGTTTTTCAGGTTTATGTAGAAAGCCATAGAAAGTGAGGACTTAGAAGCATCAAGGACACTGGACTAGAATTTTGTTTCATACTTATCCTTGTTTTCTTAGTTATGGTTTTGATATGAATTTGGTAACACCCGTTGATGTTTATGTGAATACTTTTTAAAGTTTTTGAAACATTGGTTTTCGTATCTTGTATGTGAACTCTGATATTTTTCCCCGGACTTTAATTTTAAATTATTATGAAAATTATGGGCTATTACAATTGGTATCAGAGCCATAGTTTGAGAGAATTAGGTTGGAATGTCCCTACCTAGGCTTAAACTATGTGAGATAAAGAAAGAACCAGAGTGTTTTAGGGTCTTTCCTTATACAATAGTATGAATTTTAATTGTTAGATTCCATGAATTAGTATATTCATGTTAATGGTTTATAGCTACATAATGGTTCGTACTATAAGCAGAATATATCTGCAAAAGGGCGAAAGGACTTCCATTCCGAGAAGGAATCCCCGTCCAGTTACTATGGAAGTTATTTAGAGGCTTCTCGATGAGCTAAAAGAAGAGAACCATCAAGAAATGAATCGATTGTTTGATGCTCATCTGGAAGCACTCGAACAGCTTCCAGAGATCCTGGAGGTTGCATTGTCCGTTGAGGGTGCACCATCTGTTGCAGGCACACCATCTGCTGCAGGTGAACCATCTGTTGGAGGTGCATCATTTGTTATTAGTGCATGGTATGTTATCAACCTATCCCAAACTCAAGGGTCCTCTTTTGCTACACGGCCTCCAGTCCTCCCAAAGAATAAAGGATGCTCATTCAAGTCATTTATGGTTTGCAAACTGAATTAATATAAGGGGAGTCGTGACCTAAAAGTGACTGTGAAGTTGACCACTAAAACTAATCAAGTTCTTAGGGCTAATGGATCTCGAGATGATCAGAAAGTTATCTATGCATCACAAGTTCTTAG